CCACCCATCCATTCATCCTCAATATGGACTCAATGGATTCTTGTTTTATTCAATGGGTTATCATCTATTACTACCATTAGTCATTTTGATGCCAAGATTGTCTCGGATTTTCCCAGGGGGAAGCCCTTTCAAATTGGTTCTGGTGTCCTTTAGACATGGCCCCATTGTTTTTTGAGCACTTTGATACTTTCTGGCACAACAAGATATTCCAGGTTCATCTTATACTTTCCCTGTCCTAGCCCTGGAATCAGCCATTTCTGTAAGGAGGCCTAGTTTCTTTTAGGTGGGAATAGCATTTAGAGATTTTAGGCTTTTTAAGCTGAGTGGTTCCATACTACTAATTAACTCATACTAATATTTTATGGGACTTTTTTGCATATTTCTATGATTTGATTTGTGGTATCCATAAGAGAAGTCATTTAGTCAAATTGTCACCCTTTGTGCAAGACTGCAGGTGTGTCTTTCTAGGTAGATGAGGATCTACCTGTTTGAAAACTTTAGAAGAGCAGATTTTACAGCCTCTGGGAAAAAACGTATCAATATTCAGTGGCTAACACTCAAGGATTTTATGCAATTTATGCTCACTTTTCTAGTTCTTCTCTAAATGGAAACAAAATTTTTCCCTAAAACTTTCCCCTTCCTCCCACTTCTTTGTTTTCCTTTTACCCCTTCCGCTTTTTCATTCTTCCTCTTGTTCTCTTCCAAATGTTTAGTGTCTTGCTGTATACAAGCCACTCTTTAGCTGGCTTCCAGTTCCTCATATTTTTAGAGTGATCTTAGTTTATATTATGGTTTTCATCTTAATGCTCTTCACATTTTACTGTCATTTATGTTGTAGAACCCAAATTTAGACAAAAAGCTGCAACTATTTCTTTTACTAGTTGCCAATTTTTATTTTTTAATTTTTTTGGAAGATTGGCCCTGAGCTAACATGTTGCCCATCTTCCTCTCTTTTTTGTTTTTCTTCCCCAAAGCCTCAGTACATAGTTGTATATCCTGGTCATAAGTCATTCTGATTCTTCTGTGTGGGATGCCACTAAAGCATGGCTTGATGAGTGGTGTGTAGGTCTGCACCCAGGATCCAAGACGGCAAACTCTGGGCTGCTGAAGCAAAGCATGTGAACTTAACCACTTGGCCACGGGGCCAGCCCCTAGTTGCTGATTTTTAAATTCACCAATTATGTGTTTTTAATAAAATTTCTGAGTATACTAGTACTACTTGTTCTCTGATGAAAATTTGAAAAATCCACTAAAGAAAAAGAAGAAAATAAAACCATCCATAAAACCATCACCCAGAAATAACAATAGTTTATTTTTTTGTATACCTGTTTTTTTGTACATATACTTCATACTTGTTTTCTTAAGACATACTTCAATGGGGGCTTTCAGTACACTTGTTTCAAGTATTTACATATTAAACATTTTTTTCTAGTGTCAGTTATAGCAACTGTATTTGTAAATCTGTAGTTTCAAGGTCATACCAACCAACTTTTATCTTTAGCCCCAATAAATCTTATCCTAGCCATAACTCATGTTCTTCAGGGTCAGATAAATAACATATAACATGCATTTATGAACCGGAATGGTTTAGGGATTATAAAAAGCAGACTTTACCTAAAGGCATTCAGATTCAGAAATTTAAAACCACTGTGTTGGCCAAAGATGACACATCTTCAGGCTCTGGCCACCTTAGCTCAACTGTTTCCTAAAAAACTAGGTGGTGTCTCTGCAAAAATACTGGCCTATTTTTCTAGTACTTTAAGATATCCGTAATTTAAATAAATCTGGGTTAAACAGAAGACTTTATCAGATCATACCCTGCTATAGTTTATCACCTTCCAAGTTCTTAGTTCCTCTAGCTGAGCACCATCAGGTCATCTAATCTAATAAAAGCAGGTCTAGCAAAAGCCTTTAAACACAACATTCATGCTACCCCTTCTCTGCTCTGAAAAAATTTAGACGGTTCGTATTAATCCTAGGCCACTGGACAGTAGGGTGAGTCAGCTCAATTCTTGGTGCAGCTTCTACAAGAAAGAGGACACAAAGGTCAATTTTCTGTGTCCTCTCATACCCCCACCCCCGCCCCCACCTCCAATGCATGCCCATACCATAACTATTTTCCCTAACTAGGTAAATTTGAGTCAACGTTTCTCTTTATTTTATTTTATTTTATTTTTTTGAGGAAGATTAGCCCTGAGCTAACATCTGCTACCAGTCCTCCTTTTTTTTTTTTTTTTTGTCGCTGAGGAAGACTGGCCCTGAGCCGACATCCGTCCCCATCTTCCTCTACTTTATATGTGGGATGTCTGCCACAGCATGGCTTGACAAGTGATGCTTAGGTCTGCACGCAGGATCTGAACCAGCAAACTCCAGGCCGCTGAAGCAGAACGTGCGAACTTAACTGCTGTACCACTGAGCCGGCCTCTAGTTTAATTTCTTTAATCCTTACTTGTAAAAGTCTTTCCTTTGTTAAAAAGGTTATTAATATTTGTGAATATATTCTACTTTTTATTTTTTGTTTCACATGATGCATTATGATTTCATATCAAATTATATTTCGTGAAATATATTTTATTTCACATCATACATTAACTTGCTGTTCATTATTTATCTTAGACTAAAAGAATTACAGATTCAAGACTTCTAGATCTGGAGGAGACTTAGAGATTGTGATCATCATCATTTGTAAAACAGATTAATTCAATAGTGCGAGGTTGCTCTGTTGGTCTGGGTTTGGTCAGGAAAAGAGAGCCGTGGTATGTACTGTGGCACGAAGGAATCTAATAGAGCAGTTTGGGCTTACACAAAAGTGGGAGAAGTTGAAGTGAAGACCTGTGATGGAAGAACAGAGAAACAGCCGGAAGCGCTGGAGCAGGGGAGGAAAGCCAGGAGGGCATTGCCGCAAAGAGGTCTGGGTGCCTCCCATGCCTGACCTCCAGGACCTTCCAAAAATAGTGGCCTTTCCTTCACTCTGTCTCTCAAATCTTAGGCAAGTTCCTCTCACTGGTAGACTGCAATCTGAAGCTCTAAGGAAGGGGATTTTGAAGAATGTCGCTCTAGGCTTTAGAAGGGACTGGTGGTGGTGGTACAAAGTGGATCTGGCACAGGTGCATACCTAATTCATAGCACTCATTCCTTCTGCCACTCTACCTTTCTTGATCTTTCCCTAGAGCTTAATATACGTGTGTCTCCATTGGTCATCAAGCAATCCTGGAGTCTTGACATCTTATACTGTTTCATGGAATCATTTTAGATTGTTTCCAATACCTATAGTCATCTTTCTAAAAGTTATTAAAAATAACACTAATTTCTCTCATACCTATTTTTTGAACACTAAACCTGAGGTAGGTCCACTCTTTAAACATTGCTTGTACCTTATTACTCATTTGAGCAAAGACCCAGGTTGCTAGAGCTACAAACACAAATTTCATCAATAATTTAGATTTCCAGGCTTAGGAAAGAAATGTGCAAATAAAGACACCATGAATAATTATTCTGAAACACTGAGAAATCTTAATATTTGCATCTGCTGGATGCTTTGAGACTACAGTCCAGGGTGAGGTTAGGGAGTAGAATCTGTTTGCTGAACTGATAGAGGAAATGTTGACGTAGCGCTTCGCCTGCCGGTCTGAAGCCAGTGAGCTAAACTGTAGTCTGTCCATGGTTAAAACTACCCATAAATAACAATCCTTGTGTCTCCCACTTTTCCCATTCACCCATCTTCCATGACCCAGCAGATGATGAATAATTGAAACCCAGCTCCATATAGTGTTTTTAATAATGATTGTTCATTGCTTTCCAAATGACTGCATTCGAAAAACTCGTCAGATTTGGACATACATTATTTGAATCCTAAGTGGTTGAAAAGCATGATTTAGCTTACAGAGCAATTGAATATGTGAACAATACTACTATTTTTTTGGAGAGTATTCTTGCATTTAGCAGAAAGATGTATAAATGACAGTAGTGAGATACATGATCAAAATTCATATATGGAGGCCTGCCCCATGGCCGAGTGGTTAAGTTCACGTGCTCCGCTGCAGGCAGCCCAGTGTTTCGTCAGTTCGAATCCTGGGCGCGGACATGGTACTGCTCATCAAACCACGCTGAGGCGGCGTCCCACATGCCACAACTAGAAGGACCCACAACGAAGAATAGACAACTATGTACTGGGGGGCTTTGGAGAGAAAAAAGGAAAAAAAATAAAATCTTTAAAAAAAAAATTCATGTATGAACTGAATGAATTTTTTATTGCTAACAGTTTTAGTCATGACTCAAATATAAATTATATATAAATGAATGATTTGTTTATATCTGGGTTTTTTGTCAGTAATTCTTCAAATTACATTACTTTCATGATGTGGAATTAAATGCTAGCAGCTCAAATTATGTAATTATTGGGGCCATCCCTGTGGCATAGCATTTAAGTTTGCACACTCCACTTCAGTGGCCCAGGGTTCGCCGGTTCAGATGCCAGGTGCAGACCTATGCATTGCTCATCAAGCCATGCTGTGGCAGGTGTCCCACATATAAAATAGAGGAAGATGGGCATGGATGTTAGCTCAGGGCCAATCTTCCTCAGCAAAAAGAGGAGGATTGGCGGCAGATGTTAGCTCAGGGCTGATCTTCCTCAAAAAAAAAAAAATTATGTAATTATTTATATTGGGCCTCAGTACATAAAATTCGGCATATTAGGATGACACTTGATGATGTTAGTTGTAAAATAACATCAGTGGGCAGATGGAAAGTATTAACTGGTCCACTGGTTCCTGTGAGCTAGTTATTAAGTAAAAAACAAACATTATTTTTTCTGAATATCTCAGGCAAGCTGAATGTGAGATGCAAGACTGGTAGTAAATTCAGAGTTATATTTAAAGTGCAGTGTGAGCTCATCAGATTTACCAAAGAATCATCTTTGGCTTTAAGACTTCATTGCTGTTTAAGCAGAGTAGAGAGCATGTAGATTATTCAGTGATACATGAAAATATCCACTTTAACAGGTAAATATTGGGAAGATGGATTCACCCATTGAAAAGTGGAACCTAATAATTGGCAACTTGGCTTTAAAGCAGGTAAGTGATACACATATTTGTTTACAGATCTTGGGTTTACGGATCTTGGGAATTACCTGTAAGAGCGGAATAAATTTTAGTGCTGTTGAGTCTACCATTTAATTGTTTCAGGGAACTTAGAACAATTTGGTGTCATGAAAAAGTGAGAATAAATTGCTCCCATGACCTCTGAAAGTTTTCTTTCTCTGGAAATTGATCAGGTTCTTCTAAATATGAAAAACACATAATATGCAAAATATAGAAAAAACAAAATATTTTCTATCATACGTTTGTAATAGTGCCAGAATTTGAGTTAGCATCTGTACAAATAAATATTTAGTACTTCATTGCTTAGATGCTATTTTTTTACTTTGATTTTTTTAAGTAAATCCTCTAATTAAACTTAGCTTTGTTTTATATATTACGGCCAGATGTTTGTTGAAGCTGAGCTTTCCTCAGTTTGTTAATGTCACTAGTGTTAATATAAATGAACACATTAAACTGTCAATTATATATACACTAAACCGTGGATTATATATAGATTATCTACAGCTCTCTCTAATCTCAGGTGAGTATCTCCTCCTCTCTCGCCGCCCTCTCCTGTCCCCAGGACGTAAGACTGCAGCCCCCGTAAGGCTCTAGCAACTGTGAGCTTAGGGAATGCTGCTCACTTTAATGTTAGCTCCACTAGGACATAATGTTGAGAACATGGTTGCAGAAAAGTAATTTCATGTAATGCATTTCAAAGACAAAGAAATAAAGGAATTTTTGGAATATGGGCTTTTAAAAAAATGTGCAGCTGCTTCTAAGATCACAGGGTTAGAAATGAGAAAATCTGGGATCTAATCTCAGCTCTAACATTAACCACCTGTATAACCTTTGTTAATCTACTTCACCTGCCCGGGCTTCACTTGCCTCTTTAAGTCACAGTATTGCATTAGAGATGTCTGTGATCCCTTTCAGCTTGAAACTGCAGGAATCTGAGCAGGAGTGATAATCAAAATATTTACCAACCAGTAGACTACTGTAAATTAATCTATAAATAAAAATTTGAAAATATATTTCATTTTGTTCTTTAAATACCCTAAACTCTTACCAAGTAATATGAGTTGTAAATTATTCATCAAATCATCCTAGTAATTTCCATCTCAGCTTTTAATTTTTCCTTCCACTCTTAGTCTCCACCCTTCCCTTGTCCTCCTCTCTCCATGCAACTGTTGGTCAGGATGGGAGCCAGAGAAGTCTGAGGATTCACTGATCCTAGTTGCCATAGCCTGAAGTCTGTGTCTTTGCCTGTCTCACTCCACCAAGGATGCATGAGAAACAGGGAAGCCCACACAGGCCCATCAGGACACAATTGGTGCCAGCCAGTCAGGCAGCAACTGGTGGGAGCCCAGTTACCTGTGCACAAAAGCAGAAGGGAGAGGAAAAGGTGTTTGGGGGTGTGTTGGGGCGGGGGCGGCAGTGGAGGGGGGGCACTGGTTGTGCTCTCTCCAAGGCTCCATCTGCTAAAGCTTGTGGAGTAGATGAGCATGGGGAGGGGAGTGGGATGGGCTAGCAAAGGCTCCTCTGACTGGGCGCTGGCTGTGGAAGGTGGAGGTGGGGAAGAATGGAAAGGATAGAGGAGGTTCGTGGTCTCACTGGGTGGGCTGTTTGCTCTTCTGGCTATTAAGTGGGATCTCAAGCAGATTACCTGTCACAGATTTCTGTACAACTGTACGAGGTGGCCACCTCAACCAGTGCATGAGTTGTCAAATTAAGCAAAGTTCCTAATCTCATTGAAGAACCATTACCTCACCGGGAGGGATGTGCCCCACACCAACATCTATGGCCCCTGCTAATCTCTGCAGCTGCTTGTTGAACCCAGACTTCACTCTTCTGTTGGGTACAGTTAGACATTTCTTTTGCAGGTTGAGAGAACAGGACTTCCTCATCTGAGCTGTGTGCTTCCCTTTCCTCGTAAACAGCCAGCTAGATACATAGATGCGTACATATAGACATGCCATGATGTCTGCAGCAGGCTTCTTAGCTCTGTATTTTAGTGTCAAACCAGAAAAATGTTGGAATCACCATGCTAGAATTTATATCATTTATTAATTTTACTGCTTTTACATATTATATTATTTATCAACCAGGACGAAAATGCTGAAATATTTAAACAACTGGTACAGCCGTAATGGTGCTTACAGCTTGAATCCCAGCTCTGAATCTGTGGGTGACATCAGCAGGAACTGTAATGAGAGGTCGGGGGCTGTAATCTAGGAAATCTGGACTCGCTAGCCCCAGCTGTTCCTTAATTTACTATATGACAGGATCAGACGGCTTGGGGTTTTCTCCCAGAGCCCTGGATTCCAGTACATGGATTGGCTTCAAAATCTGTGAGCACCTAGAAATTCTACTCAAGATATTAAGTGCATCTATATTTTCATTGAGAAAAGAATCTCTGTAAAATTTTTACCAGATTGTGAAAGGAGTCCTTGACACAAACACAGTTAAGAGTCAGTGACCTAGATGATCTCTTAGGGTTTCTTTTAGGTCTAACATTGTACCAGTATGATTTGAAGAGTTCAGTCAGTGTTACTTTTTTTAGTTACCTTTTTATTTATTTATTTTTTTGAGTGTTGCTTTGTGCCAGCACTGTGGGAAGCACTTTATATATGTTATGTAATTCATTTAACTCTCACCCCTTACGAGGTTGATGTTATCATTGTCATTTTACAGGTTAGGAACTAGTGTTTTTATAGCACTAATCATGACTGTGATTATCTGTGAGGTCATTTGTTAATGTCTCTCTCTCCCACCAACTGAGAGCTCTGTTGTAGCAGGGAATAAATCTGTTTTTACCACTGTTGTAGCACCAAGCATAACACCTTGGACAAAGTATATTCTAAATAAATTCTTGTTGCATTTAAATCACCTGCCACAAGATTAAGTGGTACAGCTAGGAGCCAAACTCATGTGACTCAGTTGCAAAATCCAGTCTCTTGCCAACACTGCCTCTAGATTCAGACTTCAGTCATGTGGATTGGGTTTTTTCAGTCTTAAGGTTGGTGTTTTCTTAGATGATCTGTGGATTACACCGTCAAAGTCACTGGAGGTGGTTGTTAAAAACAGATTCCTGGACCCCATTCTGTACGTACTGCCACCGGATCAGGGCAGTTTGAAAACCTATCGCCTTAGAGAATATTAAAACTGAAATATAGTAGCTTCTTCAAAAGGTAAGGCAGCTCAGTTACCATATGTAATGCTTTCTGCTGACTTCTTATGTGCGTATGTACATAATCAAATTAAAAAATGTGTTCTCGAAATGAATAATTCAGTTGGATTTTATTAAAAAAATTTTTTAGGTTCAAGCAACAGTAGTTGGTTTTCTAGCAGCTGTGGCAGCGATTATATTGGGCTGGATTCCAGAGGGCAAATACTATCTTGATCATTCCATTCTTCTGTGCTCTAGCAGTGTAGCAACTGCCTTCATTGCATCTCTTCTGCAGGGTGAGTAAATTTATCAATGTCTACTCCACAGCCTTGTACTTGCAAATGATTTATTTGCCATGTTGATTATTTTTATTTAAATGATACTTGTTCATTATAAAACAGCAGAGAAAAGTTATCTACAAAGGTTTGAAATATTTTATTTCACATATATTTATATGCCAACCTTAGTGTGCAACAGGCTTTCTGAGGCGGTCTCTTGGCCTTAGGTACCCTGGTACAGTTCCAAAACAAGATCAGGAAAATCGCCTAGATATTCATTTGTTTCTCTAAGTTAAATTGAGAAACTCCTTTCTGGAAGCCATGCAGAGGATTTACTGGCTTGTCATTTGAGTAACAAGTATTCCAGGAATTCTGAGGTTCAAAATCAGTCCCTCTGTTAAAATTTTTTAAAGTTTCAGATTTCAAAAAAGTTTCTCCACTGTTTCTGTGGCAATGCAAATATAACCATATGCTTAGCACAGCATGTTGTTGGCTGTAGAATTTTAAAGAGCCAGAAGGCTTTAAAGATTAACTATATTAGAATTTTTCAGTTGGGATATCATTTTTTATATTTATTAATATGAACTTTACACTAGAGAACTAGCTTATTATGGAATCATAGTCATAAAGACTTCATTCTTTTTATTTTATAATTGTGATCTTTTCACCCTTGTATCACCAGCAAAGTTAAAAAAGGAAGATTCTCATATCAGGTGATCATACAATGAAGCTAACTTTTTTGGCCAGGTTCTGGTAATTTAGAGAATCTCATTCAAATGAATGTCTCACTTCTAAAATATTTTTAAGCATTTTGTTTTAGTACTTAATTATGTCAGGGGTAGTTCCTTGTCTATATATAGAATTACTAGAATTGAATGGAGTTAACACTGGCCAAAGCAGAGTGAAGTTAAGCTGGGGGAAAAATAAAGTTTAAGCATTGACATGCTATTTCTTTAGGCTATTTGCTTCTGTTCTCTTTCTAATTTTGTTTCATTTATAAAGAATTGTTTAAAATTTTTCAGTCTCACAAGTTTTTTATATTGCCTAGCATTTTCATAACCATAAAAATTAGGATTTTAAAAATATATTTGTTTAAGGCTTCTTACTTTGACTAATATGTGTTCTAATTTTATAATAGCTTGACCCGTATCTATGTAGAGCAGACACTATTAACTACCTTTTGTAGGTGAGCAAACTGACTCAGCTAAGGTGACTTGTCCAATTTCATCAGCTTGTTGCAGAAAAATCAGAGTCAAAACCTGTTTCCTGACTCCCAGTTCTTTCCATTGGTCCACGATGTCAAAATACTTGTTTTTAGTTGAAAAGATATAGATGGCATTCTGTCATAGGAGAACTTGCCTATTGATCTTTCACTGTGCTGATTTTGAAAAAAGAATTCTGCCTGTCTGATCACATCTTGATTATCATGCAATAGATTTAAAAAACTTTTCTGCTATTACTTTTTTTTCTTTTTACGATGATGTTGTGGGAAAAGTAAGTTCATAGATTGAAAAAGCCTCCAGAATGTGAGACATTGAAGCAAGACAAAAATTCTACTTTTAATAATATGGGCTTTATGAGGTAGTAGAAAAAACACTGGACTGGAGTTACTTACAAGCTATGTGACCTTAGGCAAGAATTTAAACCTTACTCCTAGGACCTCAGTTTTATTATCTATAAAATGAGCATGCTAGAATAAAATTATTTAGAGACTTTTTTCAGTCTAAAAATGTGGCGAAATTGTTGTTTTTTTCTCTAGCCATATTTAGGCTTCCATGTTGATTTATGGTTAGCACATAAATAACTAATTTTAAATTTTCTCTGCACTGCATCCTCTTAATGAATGTGTTGGCATGAGAAAATCTGTACAGTTGCATATGGATATAACTGTTATTTTTTTCCCATTTCTATGATTCACATTCAAAATAAAGGTTTAAAAGTACAAATACACAATCACATTTTCATCTTCTGTTCTCTAGTTGTAGGTTCATAGACAGAAACTTTGGGTTTAAAGAATATCTTTTACAAAAAATGACTGCTTCTTGTGTTCTGGCCTCCAGTGTTCAAAATTTAATACTTCCCTCCTCTTAGTTCTTCTAAATAATACGATAAAGCAAGCATTTCTGGCTACCACTGTCTAAACAAATCTGTTTTTGTTGGTCTTCTTCCCAACTGCTATGCATATAAATATGACTCACCTTTCTTTCACATGGGTTTATTGACTGTGACGTTATTTGAGGATTAAAATAAAATCTTTGGGTTTGATACACATGAATACATTACATCTAAGGCATGTATGTTACTAAATTTGAAACTTTAGCTTTAATGTTATTTTACAGTAGCTTTTCAGGTCTTTAAATCCAACACTGAACTTCTCAAATCTTCTGTGATCCCCACTTGGAATTTGTTGAAAGGCATTTTTGCCAAAACATTAGAGTAAAATGTTTTGTTAGCTGAAGTCAGCTTATCTAAGCAGGCTAACTGGAACTGATATGCTGTTTGTCTCGTCTGTATATTTCAGTATTTAGGGGGATTGATTTTCTTTAAATCATAGCATAAAAGTAATGAGCTTTCTTTCTTCTAGGAATAATAATGGTTGGGGTTATCGTTGGTTCAAAGAAGACTGGCATAAATCCTGATAACGTTGCTACACCCATTGCAGCTAGTTTTGGTGACCTCATAACTCTTGCCATATTAGCTTGGATAAGTCAGGGTTTGTACTCCTGTCTTGGTAAGTTGACTTGAAACTAAATATAGTGTGTTCTTCAAAGTCTCTTTAAACAAATATTGTTGCAGCAATGCCATAAATCCATGGTGGCCTTCGTCCATATTAGAACTGTGGTTGAGACTGATTAGAACAATAACTGCCATTTGTTGTACACCTTTATGTGTTGCAGTTCTCATATATTTTTTCTCAGAGAGTTGAAAACTCTATAAGATAAGGATTATCATGTCTAACTTCAGATGAGAAAACTGAGGAGCATAGAGGTTGTGTGTGTTACCCTCTATTTACAATAGGAAGGTTGAACACAGGTCTGTCATAGCCTATACATTCTGCCCTTTCCTCTAAATGTGTAGCCAGTGAGTTGCTAACCTGCCGTGTTCTGATACGTGTGTTGTACCACTGTCCCAAAACATAAGGCTATGGTGGTGCTTGAAATTTAGTGATTTTTCTCTCCATCAGAAAACAACATGGCAATTAACAAAAAGAAAAAAAAAATCACTGTGAAAATTAGCCTGAATGCCATGTGAAGTTGGAATGATCTTATATATGTGATTCTTGATAATAGTGATCGAGTATTTATAGAATCTAATGAATTGTTTTAATGCAGATTATACTCTGGGACTGCTGTCAATGTAAATGAATATGATTTGTGAGCATTGGTTTAGTGCTAAAAGTTGGTTGTAGTTTTTTTTTAGGTGCCAGATTTAAAAAATTACAAGAAAACAGAAACCCACAGTAATACAAGAAAAATAAGATAGTTTATAAGCCAAGCCAGAAGCAACATTTATTCACCTATCTTCATGTATTTCATGGATTCTATGCAGATTTATGGTATACTTTAAAATCTAAAGTACATTTGGTTTGAAGAAGTATGAGTCTCAGATACATGTTTTTGAACTAAAGTAAGGGCTTTAACCTAGAAAGGCAGTCATTTTCTACTACTTTTGGAGATATCAAGGGAAGCTTCACTTAGTATATAAAATTACCTCAAATTATTTAATGAGTGGCATAAAAACAGTACTCAATAAGACTTGATATATATGTTCAAGGAAAATTCTTCTCATTTCGAAGATGTGTCTACTTGATGTAAAGTAGAAGATAGTAAATGATCAGTGGCCTAAATGTAAGATCTTGTTTCCATAGGTCTTGGTTTTCATTGTTGTTGTGGAATATACAAGGAATGATGTTTGTTCAAGTATATTCAGGGTAATGCTCAATTCCTTTCCCTTCTGGTGAAAAAAGCACAGAAAATGAGAATTGTGTTATTAAAGGGGTAATCGGCTCTCATTTACATTGTTGAGGTGATAATTGGTCATACTTTTCTCCTCTACGCTATTATACAATTTAGAAATAGATTCTGAAGTTAGGGATTGAAATATTAGCTTACAGCTAATATTAGAGAATGTGACTTATATTCTCCTCCTACTCTATTAAACTCATTCACCCACTCACAGGCAGACAGCTGGACCGCTTGTAGGTCTCACCCCTCAGGGGCAGGCTGCTAACTGTGTTGGGAGAGGGACTGTCATCAATAGGCTGGATCCCGAAAGAGAAAGTCAGTGAGGGGTTGAGTTAGCCCTGCTAGTGCCCTTTCCTTAGTCTTAACAAGTAGATAAGTGTCTCCCGCTTTGAGGAGGAGGTAAGAGAGAGGAAGGGCGGAGTAGAAGAGGGTGAAAGGTTTCTTCCTAATATTATTGAGAGGACAGGAATTCTATGGGTCTGCCCAGGAACAGAGAGGGTTAGCAGTGGGGATGAGGACGGAGGGTTGATAGTGGTTCTGGGATGGGTTCCCTCACTGCATAAAAAAGAAGGGTATATATTTGCAGACTTGGGTACTTACAGTGAAGTCATTTGTAACGCGTTTCTCAGTTGCTTGCTAAATACTAGGGTGTCTCCTCAGTTGAAGCCACAGTTTTAAGACAGTAAGAAAGAGAATGCCATTGAAGAATAGTGTAATAAATATGACAATTGTTATAATGATACAGACGAAGTATTATGAGACTCCAGAAGATAAATCAACTTTTGAGGAAAATAATGTGTGACTTTTTAAATTTTATTTTTTAAAATTACACAAGTGATATAAAAGACTTAATCACGTGTTGCTGTCTAAAGCTTTTGAGTGTTATTTTGAGTGCTATATATGATACATTAGTAGTTTAGCTGGGTCAAGAAATAAAAAAGTGAAACAAAATGATAACAGACCATAATTTTGAGAAAAAATTTTAGTATTAAATATTGCTTAGGCTTTTCTACGCCTTTACTTATCTTCTGAAAGTTGGCTTAAAGTAGTTCAAGATGAATTAATTAAAATAAGATCTTTTACATTTCATCTGTATCATGTATTTCCCTAAAATGATTTTCTTTAATGGGCTACCTATTGATTCCGTAGTTTATTTACAGTTAAAGGTTTTTCTGAAATGTGTGTTCAGATTATTAAGTGTCTGCATTGTGAACACTAGGGGGCCTCATAAGATCAGCAGTGTAGGCCTGGTCTTGGTATTCTGAATACAAAGATTAGGAACAGGCACACTGACATTGTAAGACCCCATTAATCATGCTGAGATGCCTAGATCTTGGAAATAAAGTTTAATTCCTGAACTATATTGGAAGCACTTAGCAGTCTTTAGAGATAAAAAGGGGATTTCATGGCAGCTGTAGGCTTTGGTTATAAATAGAGGCCATGTATTATATGGCTGTCAAAGAACTGGACACTGAGAGAAGCCTCACTTAACTCCTCACTTAGAATTTGGGGTACTGTTCGGAAGTGGCTGAACAGCTCCCCTCATGTCCTGTTCGCTCTGTTGCAGGCGCTAAGGCTTGCTCTACAGTCATTCAGCATGTTGCCTTTCTTTTGCAAAGTCCTGATAAAATTTGCTGACGTCTGAAGTAAATGTGGAATTCTCCCCATTCTCACCTCTCCAGTTCTCCAAAAGAGGACAAAACGAGCAAGCCCAGAGCTTTACTCCTATTGACTTTATTTTTTGTAGTCTCCCTAAGTCTTTACTGATTAGTGAACAAAGTTAAAGTTTCAGCCTGGTGTTTAGGTTTTTAAAGTTTAGGTTTAGGTTTTAAAGTTTCAGCCTAGTTTTTCTCTTTTCTTTATGTCGTTCCCCTCCCCTCCTTGAAGGCCAGTCAGAATCCTCATTTTTTCAATGCTAAATTCATAGATTTCCCTATTCTTAGGTGATCTTTTTCTTCTCTGAATTCCTATCGCACTTTATGGACAACTTCTCTTATGACATGCTTTACGTTGAGCTGGTCATTATAGCTGTTTGTATAATTGTAATACCTTCCTTTATGAGGGTATACGCTCTTGAGGACAAAACTGTTCTCATTTTATTTATTTATTTTTGTAGCACCCCATAGTGCCATATACATAGCAGATGTTAAATAAATAACACTTCACCAAATGCTTTGTTCCTTTTGAAAGCTATTCAATTAATATGAGTAGAAGTTATTCAGGAAGTGGTATACATATGGAAAATAGAAGATCGATACCCCTCTGAATGATTTTTGCCATAGTATGTGTCTAATAACATAATAGATTATAACAAAAAATGTGATCCTTTCCATGAGGACATAGTATTAGGGAAATACTGGAAGGGCATCTTGCCTTGCCTTAGAGATTAGTATCACTATAGAAAAATTAAAATGCCAGCATATGGCTCGAAAAGATCTATTTCAAGTGGAAATAGAAGAAATAGAAAGTTAGTTTAGAGAGTAATCTAAGCTCTGACTCTGATATGCTTTGGTACAACTTGGAGAGAAACTATAAAGGCATTTATTCATTCACGTAGTAATCTTTAAACATGTAATAATCTTTAAAACTATCCAAAGGATCTGAATTTGGCCAGTAACTGAAATACCTGTACACAAGGATTGTCCTTTCTTTCTTCTTGTTTGGATAATTTTAAGAAGATTTTAAACACTTTTTCAATTATTTATAACTACATAGCTATATGATTTTTGTCTGTGCATGATGTTTATTGATTTGAAAAATTATCAGCTTTTCTCTTTTTGGACAAGATCTGAGAAGCAAAATATTGATTGATTTCTCCTTCTTCAAGGCTAATTTTTAAAAGATGGCTTAGTTAAAGCTATAGGAGCAATAACTATCAGCCCCAGGTTGCTTCCGTCCTCTGAAGGACTATCAGGGATGCCACCTGCTTATTCACAGGACATTCTAGAATCTCATTGCCTTGATGTGGTGATGTGAGTAGACTCTAAATTCATCTTGTGTGTCAGTCTTCTTCTTCAGAGATTTTCAGCACTGTACCATCTTAGTTTAGAGTGATTCTTAGGTCAATTTAGTGAGAAAATTCTGCTGTAACCATAAAGAGCATTTAAAAAATTGTTTATAACTTCCAATGCCCATTCCTTTGTTGTTCACACAGAAACAGCTAACATATAAAAATGTCACTCATAGCAGTTACGTTTTTCAGAAGAATTTAGGGTGAGAATGATGAATGCTATAATGAAATTATGTAACAGTAGTTGCAACCAGCAATCTAATAAAAGGTGAAAGCCGTGAATCAAAAAGATGGCATTTATGTTTGGCAGTTAGGTGGAATCGTAGCAATTTGAACTACTTTAGCTGTGTGAATCCTTACCTTTCTGTAGTTTACCTGTATCACAGAATCAGTACTAATATACACAGGCACTTAGGCTTAAAATTCCACAGTTTTATCTATACACCTATATTCTTTTCCTATTGCTGCTGTAACAAATTGTCACAAACCTTGTGGCTTAAAACAACAAAAATTAATTTTCTTATAGTTCTGGAGGCCAGAAGTCCAAAATGAGTTATACGGGACTAAAATCCAAGTGTCAGCAGAGCCGGTTCCTTCCGGAGGTTCCAGGGGAAAATCCATTCCTTCCTCTTTCGCCTCCTGGTGGCTGCCAGCATTCCTTGGCTTATAGCCGCATTGCTCAGTCTCTGCTTCTGTGGTCACAGTGCTTTTTCCTCCTGTTATCAGATCTCCCTCTACCTCCCACCTATAAGTACAGCTGTGATTACATTTAGGGCTCACGCAAATAATCTGGGGTAATCTCCCTACTTCAGAAAGGTTTGATTTAATCACGTCTGCAAAGCCCTCTTTGCCACAGAAAGTAACATTCACAGGTTCTGGAAATTAGGATGTGGATGTCTCTGAGGGCCATTATTCAGACTACCACAATAGCCATTATGGTATACCCAGAAATTAACACAAAATATTGCTTTAACTAGAATCATTTAAACATATTTCCTTTAGAAGCAAGACGTTATTTTAGGTTTTGATTGGCTTCTAATTGACCGTTTTCTCTTGCTGATTGTGTCATTAGTGGTTTTCTAAAAGTAATTCTTTAATTTTAGGACGTCTATAAAATACCAATATCCTAAAAAGAGGAACGTTTTAGCATCTTTCCTTTTTCTGTATTGGTCATTTTCGCCCAGCTATCAGAATCGGATTGGGAATTAACCAGGGAAAGGGGAGGAGAGTCCTATCCAGTCAGACATATGGTTTAATTTGGAGGGAATGGCCATGTTAGATTTGGCAGGAAATTGAAACAGAACACATTTACAGTAAATCATTTTAGAAAGTTGTATTTTATCATGGTTTTCCCAGTCTTTTTTTGTTTAAATTTTTTTATTTGTAGATTATTTTAAATTTGTAGGATAGTTGCAAAAATAAAAACAGTACCAAAAAATCCCTGTACCCCTTGTATCCAGATTCATCTCATGTTAACATTTTACCTATGTGCTTTATCTTTTATTCTCTCTTTTTCTCTATATGTATGTATGTTCTTTTCCTTTTATGACATTGACATTTTTGAAGAATATAACCCCCCTCCTTTTTTTATTGTTGGAATTTTTAAAAATTGAGATATAATTTGCATACCATACAATTCACCTTTTAAAAGAATACAATCCAGTGGTTTTTAAATAGAAGTTAGTACATTCATAAGATTGTGTAACCTATTATCTAATTCCAGAACATTTTTATCACACCAGAAAGAAACCTGTAGCAGTCGCTCTTCATTCCACCCTCCCCCTAGCCCCTGGCAACCACTAATCTACTTTCTGTCTCTATGGATTTTCCTGTTCTAGATATTTCAAAAAATAGGATCATACAGTATATGACCTTTTATGTCTGGCTTCTTCCAGTTAGTACGTTTTCAGGGTTCATCTGTGTTGTGGCATGATCAGTACTTAAATATTCAGTACTGAATAATATTCCATTGTATGGATTAATAACATGGCTGAATAATATTCCATTGTATGGATATACCACATTTTGTGCATCCATTCACCGATTGATGGACATTTGGGTTGCTTCCACTTTTTGGCTATTATGAATAATGCTGCTCTGAACATTCTTGTACAAGTTTCTGTGTAACCATATGTTTTCAATTCTCTTGGAGTGGAATTGCTGGGTCATATGATGACTCTGTTTAACTTTTTGAGGAACTGCCAACTCATTGTTTTTAGTTTCTTTCCTGAGAAATTTTTACCCCTCTTTGAAAATTCAGGGCAGTGATTCTGGGGTTGGGATGGTGAGTGTTTTTTTCAACTTCAGATGTCCTCCCAGAGATTTAATGCTGAAAATAACTTAAAAGCCTGGCATGGTGCTCCACTCTTGACCTGAAAATGAAATACTAAGATGATTCGACTTAGCAGCAGAGTTCTTTTCATTTGTGGATGGACTTTAATGCTTTTAGTTTTCTGTTTGATCCTATAGAGATTGTTGGCAACTGTAGTTGTTTTAGGAGGTAAGAATGCTTCCTAATTGGGATGTGATTTATCTTTATCTAATGGTTTAACAAAAAGAACTGGGAATCCATCCAATAAAAGTTTTCTTCATTTTTAAAAAAATCATGGAGAAAATGGCACTATACGTAGCATTAGTCATACCTCTTTAAATGGAAGAAAATATTTAAATGAATTTTGTTAGTATAATCATTTTGAAGATGTGATGGCGAATCCAGATAGAATCATGAGAATAAAATTTGTTTGGATACTTTTTTTTTTTTTTTGAGGAAGATTAACCCTGAGCTGACATCTGCCGCCAATCCTCCTCTTTTTGCTGAGGAAGACTGGCCCTGAGCTAACACCCGTGCCCATCTTCCTCCACTTTATATGTGGGACGCCTACCACAGCATGGCTTGTCAAGTGGTGCCACATCCGCACCTGGGATCAAAACCGGCGAACCCCGGGCCACCGAAGCAGACCGTGTGAACTTAACTTCTGCGCCACCGGGCCGGCCCCAGGACACTATTTTAGTATCCTAGTAATTGTTCTTACCTGACAGAAAAAAATTTGAGCTTCTATCTAGTTCAAACATCTTTAGTAATAGGTGAGAAGATCTTTAGATATCTTAAGAAGATGAGGAAATACAAAATTCAGTCAAGGATAAGAGTATGGATAACAGTTGAAGAATTTTGTGTGATGTTAGGAAGACTTGGTAACATTTAATTTAAATCTAAGACTGTAGGCTACAGAGTTGTGAGATCAACTCTGTCTTTAAGTTATGAAGTCCCTACTATACAACATAAGTATTGGAGTCATTGAGAGGAATCCAGGAATGTCCTGGCAAAAATCTCTGATAATAATAAAACCTTGATCAGCTAAAATGACGTTACTAAAAATGTCTTGGGATGATGTAACTGTTTCAAGAAGAGGTAGGCAACTTTTAACCCTAAGGATATTTAGAATTAAGTATAAAAATATTTTAGAATCAAACTCATGGTATTAATGGTCTTATACTAACAAGGCAGTGCATATGTTTTTATTTACTTGTTACTTAGCTCATTAGAGTAACGTCAGTCTTCTAATTCCATTTTTTAATTTATAATTAATTGACTTATTCTTATGATTGTTAAATAGAAATCTTCCCAAATTTGTATGCATTATATGAATATTTATGAAAACTTAAGACTCACTGTATTTGTACATTTAATTTGTTATTTTTATAAAGATTATTTTAAGTACTTGGAAACTTTTGTGAGACAGATGAAATGTCTAAAGTAAGTGGAATATCTCAGGGTATTTAACTAAGTTTGTAAATGTGACCAAGTATTATTCCAAACTCATAAAAACAATTTTTGATGGGATGCTAGACATTGTGAATGTTACGTTGTTAAGTGCTCAACAGTTTTGTCTTTCTTTACAAAGTGTTGGACATTGTTCTTGTAGGCAGTTAATTGTGGATTAGCTTGAGCTAATTTCAAGGCTTGGTGTTCAGCTTTATTGGGGCAGATCAGAGCAGACATTACATCAGGGCTAGCTTCACTGCTAGGACGTGACCCTTCTCAGGTCTTAATGTTCTCAGTGTTCAGAGGCCTCTCCTTTCCACGGGATTAAATCTTGAATGACTTTCAGTCCTTTGTAAACTCTGGAAATTTTTTGGTTTACAAATCCCCAGTTATTCTTGGCCTAGCCTTGTGGAGTTCACCCTAAGGTTTGGTGTTCAGTTCTCAAGCTCTTTCTCTGATAGCTTCCTCTTTTCCAGTCTGCTACCCTGTAAATTCTTGCTGCCTTAGGCTCACTGCCTTCCTGAGCTGTGGTCTGGAATGTGCTTGTAGTCAGAAAGGTGAGGCTACTGTAGGGCTTATCTCATTTCTTTCCCTTCTCTCAGTGATCACAGTCTTGCAGTACCTGTTGTCTAGTGTCTGAAAACAGTTGATACCTAGCTATCTATACATCCATCTATCTATCTATCTATATATATGGATATGTAAAATCTTCTAGTCACTTCTGAAAGCACTTATAATTTTGTTCAGAGGTGGTATACATCATGTCTACAAAGCAAGACAGTCAAGCCTAAAGTCAATGAGTCAGAGGAGTATACTCTCTCTATAGGAGAGCGTAACAAGAATGGGGAGAGAATGAAAAATTGTGATCAAGTAAGACAATCTACCTCAGACAGGTATAACAAAGTCCTAGCGATCTGTTACCTCAGTGTGTCCCAAATAGCAAGACGCTAATAACAATGGCTGTGATTATGATGATAGTGAGCGTTCAGTGAATGTTAGCTATGTGCTTAGGCCCTATACTAGTTAACTTACATGTCTTAATTCTCTTAAGACTCACGATAACCCCATGAAATAGGTAGTATTATTATTACCATTTTAAAGATAAGGAAACTGAAGTTTATAGAAGTTAAATTTCTTGTCCAAGGTAAGTTGTAACACCCAGATGTGAAACTAGGTACTCTGGCCAAACTATGGTAATATAGCGAACTGTATTCTATCTTAGTGTATTAAAGGTTCTGAGTAGTTTTGCAGTGAAGAAATCTGTTTAACTTTATTAAACCTAGTCTTCCAATTTTATTTTGGAGCTCGGAACACTACTTAGGATTGGGGGGATATCTGTTATCAATTGATCGGCCAATATTCCATGGAATGCTTGTACTATAAGATCCTTGTGGGTGAAAACAACATCCTATTTGACTTTAGAGTTAAGAGCACTAACTTCAGTGTCAGACAGATGTCATTTTCTCGCAACTCTTGCTATTTCCTAGCTTTGTTCCTAAGCTCCTAAGACTAGGTTTCTTCATAAAATAGGAATGACTGTATCTACTTCATACTTGGGAGGACAATTAATCATGAATATAAAGCATTTAGCACAATCCTTGGTAAAGAGTGGGAGCCAAATAAATGTTAGCTTTTTTTACTGTTGTTGTTGTTATTATTAATGCTATTGCTATCTAAGTCACATAGCTATTTCAGTAAGTGTTTGTTGAAATAGTGTATTAGTTTTCGCTTATATTATTTAATATTTTTACCTTATCTACAGTTTGAAATTTGTAGAAAATATATAGCATGTTAATATATTTGATAACATCATCTCTTCTGGTAAATATTTTAATTTTAATATTTACTTTGCTACGTGGAGAGAAAAGAGATTGAAATGTTGTCTCTTTTTTAATTTTAGAGACCTATTACTACATTTCTCCATTAGTTGGTGTCTTTTTCTTGGCTCTGACTCCTATCTGGATTATAGTAGCTGCCAAACATCCAGCCACGAGGACAGTTCTCCACTCAGGCTGGGAGCCTGTCATAACAGCCATGGTTGTAAGTAGGTTAGTATTAAAAAGTGCGTGTGTGTGTGTGTCCTGTGTGCATGTATCTATGTCTATATTAAAACAAATAATTGCCCGTTTTTACTTCTTGTATCAATCATTTTATATAACCAGTTCTTTATTTTCCCATGTAATAAGAGCTATAAGTGACAGGAATTATTGAAATCAGTAGATGTACAGAACCTCACTTGGCTACAGGTTTCAAACTTTTTTCCAACCAAATCCTTACCAGATTGATAAATAAAATTTAGTGGTGTTTGTAGGTTTGTGTGTTTTAACCTGACAAGGACATTACTTATTTTTAATAGCAAGTTGCTCACTTAAGTGTCAGAAAGACTTAGAAATGTACTTACCACATGACCACTTCCACTTCTAGAACCCTGACAGAACTTAAGGATAGATGCAAAAGATTTAGTGCAAGGATCCTTATCACAGTGGAATTTTTAATAACAAGAGAGAGAACACCTTAGAGGTCTAGCAATCAGGGATTGATCAAATAAATTGTGGTATGGTCACAAAATGGGTGATGGTCTAGTGGTTAAGATTTGGTGCTCTCACCGCTGTGGCCCAGGTTCATTTCCCAGTCAGAGACCCATGCCACCCATCTGTCAGTCATCATACTGTGGTGGCTGCATGTTGCTGTGATGCTGAAAGCTATGCCACTGGTTTTTCAAATACCAGCAGGGTCACCCATGGTGGACAGGTTTCAGCAGAGCTTACAGACTAAGACAGACTAGGAAGAAGGACCTGGCCACTGGCCACCACTTCTGAAAAAATTGGCCATGAAAAGCTTATGAATAGCAGTGGAGGATTGTCTGATACAGCGCTGGAAGGTGAGAGGATGGTGCAAAAAGACCAGGCAGGGTTCTGCTCTGTTGTACACAGGGGCGCTAGGAGTCGGCATCCACTCCAGGGCGCTAGCAGCAACAACACAAAATGGAATATTAGCCATTAAGGAAAACATAGTAACATTCCTATTGACATGGAAAAATATTCATCATACATTTAGTGAAACGAACAAGCTAGAAAAGAGTATGCTTTCCTGTTAAACGTGGTAGATTGACACGTGTATTCTTCCTTCCTAAAACTACTAAAATAACAGTAAAAGAATTAAAAAGCTATAAAGCTACAAAGACAGAAGGGAAGCAGAGAGGACAGCAGATGAGAGATTCAACAAAATTAGTAACTTGGGAATGAAATGGATGGTTGTTAATTGAACTAGCAGAATGAAAAAAACTAAAACCTAACAATCCTCAGGGCAGGAGGACACACATAAGAAGCAAGCTGATATGAGCCTCAGAAATCCCAAAAGGTGGGGGAATTAGAGGCACTAAGTACTTCTGAAAGCTGGAATGAAGAAGATGTTATTAAAATTGAAAGTTTTTAAAGAAGCAATTAGATCCTAAAAGCCCTTCTTCAACTTGACCACCCAGGTGACTGCCCCCCCCACCACCCTAGCCGAAGACAAGAAGTAACTCTGGGGAGGCTCAGTCGGAGAGGCTCTGCATTCAGAAACACCTGCACCAGTGAGGATGTGGATTAAGCGCTATATGAAAAACAGGAGGATTGAGTGAAAGTCTATGAGCTGGACAGTGAAAGGCCTATCCCACTTCCTGTTCTTTGCTCATAGAATGCCGGCAGTCAGACTTATACCCCCAGGCAAAAAATTAGATAATTCCTTTCTGGGGAAACTCGTCAGCACAAAGGAAAAACCTGCAGATACTGACCCTTGTGGGCCCTTTAGTGAAAGAGCTGCATGCTCACCTGACCATTGTTCAGTCAGGCCCACCTGCTAACAAGCTCTGCCCGTGGACAAAGAGAGCTCCAAGTATGCTTTGCTTTGCTCCTTAAAAAGGAGCAGACAGTAAAGGATTGCCAGGCATTTGATTAAGGCTCCTAACATGGAAGAGACCAAAAAAAAAAATGGTACTCAAAGAAAGTGCAGGGATAGTTGAAAAACCTCAAAAAACTATCATTGGTATCCTCAGAGAAATAAGAGAAACTATGGCATCCATAATGTAAGAACCGAATGCTCCAAAAAGGAGGATTTGAAAAACAGGAAGACCTCTTGGGAGTTTAAAAATATATAAATAGCAGAAACAGAAAATTTAGTACAAAAGGTAGAAGACAAAATTGAGGAACTATCTGGAAAGTAGAACGGAAAGTAGAGAGGTGGACTACCAGAGGCAAACAATAAGGGAGGAAAATTATCAAAGAAATAATACTAGAAAATTCCCCAGAACTGAAGAACGTAGGCTTCCAGATTGAAAGGGTCCACTGAATGCCCAGCACAATAAATTAGAGTAGGAGGGACCCAAATCAAAGCTCGTTATCATAAATCCGAAGGCTTCCAGAGAGAAAAGATGAGTTACATATAAAGGATTGGGAATCAGAATGACGTCCAGCAGCAACACCAAAAGTTGTTCCTTCAAAGTCTGAGGGAACATAAAGTGTGGTCACAGTATCAACCAAATGTATGGTAGACTTGAGAAGTTTTCAGACATGCAGGATCTCAAAAAATTTACTTCTCAATAGACCCTATTGTATAAAAGCTGATAGAAGATATGGCCTATCAAAATGAGGAAATAAGAAAGAAGACAACACAGGAATGAGGAAACCCATTGCATGACAGCATGTGGTTCATTTTTCTATAATGTAGATTGCTTTTTCCTGGAAGTTTCAGGCAACAGGATCCTATGAAATGTTGGGACTTTGTCCTAGTACGTAGACCAAGACCCAACATGGGGAGATTAAAGAGAAGGTACAGGATGACAGCTGTGCATCAGGCCTAGAGAGTAACCATCCAGGTTGCTTAATTTCTATCAAACAAACTTAAGAAGGGATGTCTCTAAGAAAAAAAAAAGTGGAATTGATTGGTTGTCCAATGAGTTTGACTGTATTCAGAGGCATTTCATTAACTTTGTTACAAATTTGAGCCTAAATTAGTAATAAGTAACTAAAGAGTTAAGAAAAATATGAGGCAAGGCAAAAAGTACAAGTGAGGAAATCTAATAATACAATTTGTGGCTCAGATATGAATCATGAGTCCATTGTTATAATAAAGTAAACCCTAAATATTTCACCAAAGGTTATAATGTAACCAGATTGGCAGGATAGGGGGAGGAAGGGACTTGTGAGGACACTTTCGTGTGGAGGGAAGGGTAAGAGAGACTAAATCCTCATCTGCCTTAGTAGGAAGCCATTGGATAAATGGCTAAAATTAAAAATCAAGAAATAGGAGTATAAACATGTTTGTTAGAAATATAGAATTAAATGCCAGAAGAAACGGCTAAAGAAGTTGAAAAGAGCGAGATCTGGGGGTGGAGCTAGGGACAGCTTTATAAGCATTGTGTTACTTTCACTTTTTAAATAATCCATGTTTGTTTGATAGAAATAAAATTTAATAAAAGTGAAGAAAACTACTTTGAGGATTTGAGTTTTTATTTTTAAACATTTATGTTTAAAGATGTCTGGGAGGCTATATACCCATAAGCTAACACTATAATTCTGAAAGATGTAACTATGACTGATTTTTATTTTCTTCTTTTTGTTATTTTCTAATGTTTTATAGTAAGTTTTATTACCTGAGTAACAAAAATATTTTTAAATGTATTTTAGCAAGTGTTGACGTTATATCCACAGCATGAGCTATACGATTTGGTATGGAAATTTATTCTTGGACACATAACTAGCTTGCTCTATGAAATATATATATATATTTTTTAATTAAGGCTTAGAATATTAAAATATTTCTAAGGATGACTATTTTTGGACTTTATATTGTACCTTTTAATGGGAACTCCTATCAGTTTAGGCATATTAAGCCATTCATTTATTTTACTAAAGAATTAAAATAATAAAGATTTAATAATTTCCTGATGTTAACTGTCAGGTAATGGTAGGAACACTGGATCTGATATTTTGACCATCAACCCTATTCTGTGACAGCATATAGCTCATTTTTCTGTAATGTGGATTGCATTTTCCTGGAAGATTTAGGCAACAGGATCCCATGGAATATTAGGACTGGCAATGTTTTGTAGTACGTAGGTCAAGGGACTGAAGTTAACCAATTGATAATGATCTTGGAAACGCCAAACAAATCTCCAAGCTCCCTTGAGACGTTGAGAGTGAGAGTGTATGGCTTGCCCCTATATAACTGTGTCATTTTTCCAGACCTCTCATCTCAAGATCAGCTCTTTCTATGGCTACAATTCATTATTTTGATTTACCAGTGATAAGACACACCCTAACTATATCAAGTTTTAACACAGTAAAAATCATCCCTTTTTAATGCCTTGTTTACTTCAAATATGAAAAGATACTCTTTTTAAAATTATTTTTTAAATTATAAGAGTGATAAGTGGACATGGTTTTAAAAAATTAATAAGTACAGAAGGATATAAAGTGACCATTAATCTCTTATCAGTCTCACCGCCTAGAGATAGACATTGTTAATGATTTTTTATATGTCCTTCAGACATTTTAATGCTACTTAAAGTAGTATGTGCTTTTCCTTTTTGCAAGTAACATATCTTGGAGGTCAGATAGAGAGCCCTGAAATGTGGGGCTCCACATTTTATGCCATGTTTTATTTTTAGCATTTATTTCTAACATTTTGTTAACATTGATTTTTCCTTTGAATATTTTTTGTTTTTAATCTATTTTATAATGCCTAAATATTTTATTTTTAAAAGTAGGGGTGTCTGTATGTAAAGAACAACTTCAAATTAGTACATTTCCTTCCTTCTCTAAATGATATGATTTTATATCTTTCAGCATTGGGGGCCTTATTCTGGACACAACTGTATCTGATCCAAACTTGGTTGGGATTGTTGTTTACACACCAGTTATTAATGGTAAGAATTAGACACACTGTTTCATAATGATATCAAATCTTTATATACTCTTAGGTACTAATGGGAATCTTGGGGTTCAGATTTTGAGAGATCTGTCTTCCCATCCCATCCATTTTCTCTCCAACCTCAGGTTGTTGCTCCCAGTGGAAATTACATTCTCTGTTCTCGGTATGCAGAACACGTTTTTTGAAAAGAACTTTCTTAATCTTATCACTAGATATTAGTTTGAGAGTCAGACATACCCAATTTTTAAGGTTAGTGTGACAAAATATGATATTTCAGTTCTGGATACTTTTGGTTTATCTGCTATTTTATGTTGTTTTGTTGCTGCTTCTGTCAGTTTTCATGGATAAGTCAGAGTTAGCCAGGTTTAAGGCTTGCTTGAGTCAATTCAGTCCATTAAAATCCATCACTCCTCTGCTGATCCCTTTAAAATATGCCTTATATTCTTTCTTATCTATAAAATGGAAATTATAATACTTAAGTTCACAGGGATTTCTGTATGAATTTCTTTTAATAAGATAATTTTAATCCAGTCCTACTGGCTTTTGGGCTGGCTGTCATTAAATTGGATTTTAGTATAGCCTAAGCCAATATAATTTAAAAAGTAATTCTACCTGGGGAAAAACATGTCACAGGATATGCCACACATTTAATAAAATTACTTTTGTATATTTATGTATAAAAATATGTTATATAAAGGCAAGTTCTCTAAAATCTAATTTTATATCTAAAATTTCTACTGAACATTTTAATTTTTGTGTACCTTTAGAATGTCCATTAACAAATTTCCCCTGTAGACCATCCCTCCCAATTTTCCTGATGCCACTAATCTCTCCATTACCCACCCTTAAAACCATGGAACCATCTGATTCAACCAGGCCCTTCCTCCTCTTTGAATAGACAATGAGCAACCCTCGCCTGTTTGCCCTTTAACATAATTCACTAGTTCATTTATTTATATGACAAGCACAGCTCACCGTTGTAGTCTGCTGATGTCTCACTCCAGCCATCACTCTAGTAATAAAGTACCCTTCCTGACTGACTCCTTATTTGATGCAAATTAAATGTCACTAACAAACTAGTCTTCCTTAAACTTTGTTTTTATTATATCAATCTTAAGATGATGAACTTAACAGTGGTTTCCTCCTGCCTATCAAATCAAGTTTGAATTCTTCTGCCTAGCTTTCAAGGCTTTCTGTACACTGTTGGACAGGTACCACTTTTTCCTCTATCAGTCTAACCAGCTTATTGTATTGTGGCCATACAAAGATCTTTTAATTTTCACTGTCTGGAATGACTACTGCTTTCCTTCCACCTGTTCAAATCCTCTTCAGTGAATATTAGTTGATGAATTTATTAGCATAAATATTATCCAATAATGACTATCAGAGCTATATTGCCCAACATGTCGGTAAGAAATTTAACTTAAATTACAATGACCCCATTATTAGTAAGGTTTTAATGAGTATTTCTGTTATTTCTCCTTACATAAGAAACAGTTCTAGAGCTTTGCTGAAGCATGCTGTCCTTGGAAGTCTGTGTCTTGGCATTGCATGGTAGTAAAATCTTTTTTTTTTTTTTTTTGAGGAAGATTAGCCCTGAGCTAACTACTGCCAATCCTCCTCTTTTTGCTGAGGAAGACTGGCCCTGAGCTAACATCTATGCCCATCTTCCTCTACTTTATACGTGGGACGCCTACCACAGCATGGCTTTTGCCAAGCGGTGCCATGTCCGCACCCGGGATCTGAACGTGCAAACCCTGGGCTGCCGAGAAGCAGAACGTTTGAACTTAACTGCTGCACCACCAGGCCAGCCTAGTAAAATCTTTTTTGTATCCCAGCTAGTAAACCTCTTAGTTGGGTATCACAATGAGCTCATCTTATGTTAAATTCCACTCTTTAAAAACATTGGTATAGAATATTCACTCCACATTCCTCAAAAAAGTTGGAACTTTTGAGAATTGAATTTCATTTTAAATGTGCTGGAGGATGTACTCTAAGGGATCTTTATTATGATGATGATGATCATCATCATCATTTGCTATTTAGTGACTACCTACTATGTGCCAGATAACTTATAGCATGTTAAATCATTTAATTCTCACAATAAGAAAGTAATTTGTCCAAGATCTTTTATCTAGTAAGTATTGAGTCAGGATTTAAACCCCAGTCTGCTTGATTCCAGAGCCTGTGATTTTTTTTCCCTCAAAATAAACAACTACTAATTTATCTGTTTTATTAGACACAAGAATAGACGCTTTGTTTAAAGTAAGACATATGTGTGTTGATATTGTGATTAGGATATCTTTTAACACTGTTAACAACTCTCAGAACTAGTAGCATTTTCCGAAGTATATTTCATAGTAACACTAGCTCTGTGAGATGTTAATAAGTATAACTCAAAAAGTGTTTTGTGGTCAATGAAGTTTGAGAAACATTAGGTTAAGTAGATTTCTTAACTACAAGATTTCTTAACGTCCTTCTCATGCTAATATATACCGGGAATCTCCTCCTGGGACTTCTGTTAGCTAGACCCCAGGCCACACTTTGAGAACTACTGATCTAGGGCTTATAATGTATATCTTTATCACATGTACTTCGAAATAATAATATACCCCTTTACGTGTAAAATAAGAACCTTATATCTGTATATTTGGATTTTCACTCCTCTTTCTTATGTGCTCTGTTTGTCATACATTTTACTTTGTTATAAACCCTATAATGCATTGTTGTTATTTTTGCTTTAAACAGTCAATTATGTTTTGAAGAGATTAAAAATGAGAAGATGATCTCTTTTGTATTTTCCCATATATTTTACATTTCCAGCACTCTTCTTTCCTTTGCGTAGGTCCAGATCTCCATGCGGTGTTACGTTCCTTCTGCCTGAAGACGTTCCTTTAATGTTTCTTGTAGGGCAGGTCTGTAGAGAAAACAGAGGCTCCAGGCATGGCCTCTCCCAGCATACTTCTCTTTCCTTCCCCTTCACCTCTGTTCTTACCCCTAACAATGTCTGTTCCTAGTTTCTTACATTCCTATCTCAGAAGAAGAACTAACTCTTTTGTTCAAGATCAACTAACCCACCTGTGGTCTGGATGCCGTTCTGTTACAACTCCAGTGGGATCCTTAGTCCATCGATTAATCTAATTTTTCCTTTATCTTCCCTGTCTTCCTCTCTTCCATCTTTTCCCTTTAGTTTACAAATGCACTCAGTCTTTCATCCTAAGTCACCTTTCCCATGGTGTTCTGGCTTCTCAAGCTTCTGTTTTCTCTCTTCTATTCTTTGCAACCAAACTTTTCAAAGTGTAGTCTATACTTTTAAGTTTATGACATTATTTTCCCTCCCTCTGACTCCATGTAACTGCTTCTACCAAGCTCTCCAGTGACCTCCTAATTCTTTTATCCAATTATTTATTTTCAGTCTTGGGAGGTGAATGTGTCTGCCCTTGTTTAGATGACAGGGTCTTCACTATGAGGAGTTACATGTATTTCTTTGGAAACTATGAAAAAATGCAAGACACACCTCCCTCTTCCCTTTGCCCTTCTTGAAACAAAAAGAGTAATTCCTACATGTGAGTTCTGCTGAGTCTTGGAAGGAGGATAGGTGCAAATGCAGAGATGTATGGAGGTCACTGAAATATGTAGGTATATATGGAAGATACTGGATCTGTTGTGCTGTTGATTATAAGGATTTACTTTTTAACAAAATGAACTTGCACTTCAGGTTCCTTTGGGAATGTTCAAAAGAATTCTTCACAAAATTTGAGATGTATTCTATGATACGAGTGCTAAACGTTTACTGGAAATGTATATTTCTAAATTTAACAAAACATGAAGTTGGATTTTAAAGCAGTCCCCAGATGAACCTGCTGATAATTTATTCATACTATGAAACTTTCTATTATCACGGGAGTTTATTCTAGCATAAGGCACTTAAAATTAGGTCTTGTGGGTACTGAGGATTCTCACTAATTATTTCGTATGTTGACAAGCTGCTTTTGCTAGTGTTATTAATTTATATGGGAGACAATTTTTAGATGCTCTACACTAGCTTTAAGTAATGCAATTAGTATGTGAAGAATTTAAGTAATTTAGAGGAAACGCTGATAGAGTCGCTCTTGGCAGAAACGTAGTGTGTGTCATGATAGCAAGAAAGCATTTTTGACATTAAAGAAAGCTGTTCCAAGTAATAAATCTGCTACAGTTTAAAAATATAACCAATGATCATGATGAAATTAGATGGAGTTTTAACCCTATGAGAGGTTAAAATTTTAATAAGTTCCTACACCAATTATGTTGTTTACTTTACAATTTTATTTACCTTATCTGGAAAAATGATACCAGTCTCTTTCTCAAGCCTCAGTTCATTTTATTTTTAGTTTGGTGCAATTATAACACCAGTTGTGTCTGTGTTTCCTAGACTACAGCGTGAGGCAGGTCAGGGGATTCAGGGAAGAGCAAGGTGCTACGTCGATTATTTATAAGGGTTCATTTGTATTGATTATCACATATTTTAATCCGGACATGGTAACAAAGAAATGATAAAAGTAGTTCTATAAAGGTCTACCAGTGTGGTTTTATAGAAGAGAGCTACAACTACTCATTAATTGCCTTTTGTTTCAAATTCAATCCAAGGGAAGTTCCATATAGAGTAGCTATTCTCGGGTTTAATAGCTTATGCTTTCTGCATTTGCATTAAAGTGTTCCATATCTAATAAAATACCAGATAGAACATTACCCCCAAGAGAATCCCCGGAGTAAATGAAGATGAAATGGAAATTACCATTTATGAATTCCTGTAGCAAATATCTGGCATTGAAAAATGTATCTGAATGCAGTCTTTTGCTTTGTATTAAGTGTATTCTTCACATTCAATTCTTCTCCTTTTGGGGGGCTATGAAGAGAAATCCATGGAGGATTATAGGCCATTCTTACTGGTTTACCCAGTAACTCTTTGTGAAAGTACTTGTGTTTCTAGTGTAATACTATATAGTATTATAG